ATGGTGCTGCTCAAGTGTGTTAACAGTGGTGATACTGATGACTATTAGGAAGACTCATTATAGGTTACTAAGGTTACAACAGAACCTTGAACACCTTGAATAGGAGGGGCCTGTATAGATGGAGAGAGATCAAGGTAACCAATGTAATACACATTACAGAACTGGCTAAGACCCTTCAGAGGGTATAAATGTGACTACTAAGGAGTTTCAAAGTGAAAAACTACTCTTTGGAACATTAAGTTATCACTGGCCAAAGTCTCAGACCCAAAAACCCCATCCCACCTCACCACTGATGATCCCACACAGACCTAAAGTGTCCAGACACATTTTGTTAAACGGCCATTATTTTCACTACCCTGACTGTCCACCTCTGAGACGTTGAAGGAGTTATGTGAAATAGTACATTAAATAAATCACCATCTACCGATCACCTACCATGTACTAACACCTTACATTTTCTCTTTAATTCCAATAACCGTATGAGTAAGGTATTTCCCCAGATCATAACTGATACAGGTTAACTTGCCCAAACTGACAGACCTAGTAAGTGGCCAGGTCCCAAATCCAGAATTGCCTGGGCTCCATGATCGTCCCATGATTATAAGGCTTCTCAAACCTTTCCACCTAAACTCTAATAAAAAGGTAGAGAAGAATGAAGAGGCAGGCTAGGGAGGTTAAGTGGAAAGAGAAAAGTAGAACTTGATAGAAAGTTCCAAGCTACCTTTGGCAAAAACAGAATTTCTTTTGACTTCACCTTTTATCTTAATCCCATTAGCTGATTCCAGGTCTGGGGCAGAAATGCACAAGAATGAGCCTGGAAACATCTTGACATACCAGATAGCAAGGAAGCTCTATCAAAGACTACTAGAGAGCATGTCAGTAAGAATCAGGAGCCAACTTTAAGAAAGTCCCACTAGCCACAAGTGGGACAATTTGAATTTCGCTAAGGATTAGAACTGCAATGTATTGAAACCCATCAAATGTTTACATCTATGGATGCATAGTTATATATACACTTATATGTGTAACCTTTTGAAGATGACAGGAAACCAATTCATCACCTTGAAAGCAATGTTTAAAAAAATTGAGTATTTATCCTGCTCTTCCTATATAAACTATATTGCTGAATAACCAAATAAAACATAAGGGAAAACACAAAATTATTCCAGCTAACAGATGAAAACAAAATGATAGCATTAGAACGTCACCATTTTGTAGCCCCCCCCAACAAATTAATGGATCCAAAAAATTCAAGTCATCACAACATAATCAACGTTGTGAATGAACACCTTCCCCCCACCCCCCAATGTATTTGCCAAAGGGAATGAACCTGAAATTTATCAAGCCTCTAGATCCAGCTGCCAATTTGCAGGAAATAGAGAAGTATCACCTGGGAACTTATCAGAAATGCAAAATCTGGGGCCCCTCCTAGATCTACAGAATCAGAAACTCTGGGAGTGGGGACCAGCAATCTGTCTTAGGAAGCCCTCTAGGTGATTTTGATGTTCCCTAAAGTTTCAGAACCATTGTTCTAAGTACTTTATATGCACTAATTCAGCTAAACTTCTTCGGAACTCTACAAGGCAGGCAGTACTATCATCATTTTACAGATGAAGGACTGCGTGGCACAAAGCGGTTAAGTAATTTGCACAACATGGCGCACCTGGTAAGAAATGGGAATCAGAACTTGAACTCTGTGAATCTAGCTCCAGAGTTCATGTTCTCAATCGCTGTGCTGAAAGGTCTTTCCACCTGTAAGAACTCAATGCCGTAGTTGTCAGAATGCCGTAATAAAGAATAGTGGAAGTTTGGGAAAAAAAAGAAAAAGAAAAAAAAGCAAAGACCAGGAGAAATACGCCTCACTATAAAATAGACAGGCATATAAGGAAATAATCATAGCAAACAATGTACCCAAAGTAATTTTCCAAAATCATTCCAAAACATAAACAGCCACCAAATGCAATATACCCAAGCACTGCTGGGGCAATTATCTCTGATATCTAATCACAAGGACCTAAAACCTGGGTTGTGCTAAAGGTGGTACATAAATTCATGACAGTATCTTCAGATTCACCAATCTTTTAAATCTAAATGGTTATAGTGAAAGGTCATTCGAGAATAAAGATTCATCTCCCTATTTTTAGTCACCATTTACTTAATGACTACTGAAAGGAAAAACTGCTGTCTTTCAATACCTAAGATTACACAATCAGAATCTCAAGAGTTGAAGAATTTTAACATTCATCTAGTTCGATCAGCAGTCCAGACTGAATCAGATCTACAATCCCAATCTCCACGTAATGGTACATTCATAATAAATTAAAACATTCCAACTTTCTGTAAAATCACATTATGGGATCACTCTATGCCACCAACTGTAATTTTTAAAGCCAAATGACTAAAAACTTTTAAAGAGAACTTAAAAGCTGAAAATGCTCAGGTTAACAGTCCAAACAAAACCTACAGTTGTTTTACTCATAGAGCCACTTCTTTACTACCTGTAAGGATTTCTATATCCAGAAGACCAAGCTGGTCAACAAGTACATCAACTTTTAACAACTCAACACCTATGACACATCAAACGACTTAAAAGTTGAATTATTCCTGACATTAACATATATAAACATCTAGTAACCAGTCATTGAGGAAACAATAATACAGCAAAACACCAAAAGCCCAAGTACTTATATCAACCTTATAGATAGCGAGATCATTGTAAAGCAGTCTAAAATGGTTACAACTACACAACAATCAACAACTTAATCTTACTCCAGAAGAGGTAACATGGAATGTGAAGGACAAATATTTTCAAAGCAACCAAGTTTGGCATTTCAATACCACTTTGAACTCATGGTTGAAAACACACAACAGAAGAAAAAAAAAAAACAACAGCATTTCCATTGTAAATCTGCAGCTAAGAATTGTGAGAAAAACTCAAATACTGGAATGCCTACTGTGTGCAAAAACTCTATGAACAATTATCCTAGTTTCACAAATTCAGGATTAAGTGATTTCGTCCAAACTTCCTAACTACAGAAAACTCAAGGCTAAGTATCTAATTACTATATCCAACGTGCCTCAAATTATTTTTGTTGAATTCACGAATTTACCGCAACTCCCAAGAAATCACTTCATATTTAATCAATTTTCAACCAGTGATTTATTTCTCCATTAATGAACAAATAATTGAAAAGGCCTGAATTCATGATCCATAGCACTTGGTTGATTCACAATCATATTTCATCTGAATACTTCAAAAACTTTTACTTGTTACTTCTACCCTCCCTGCCCCTTGAAATTACTCTCATTTTAAAGGCAGGCACAAGTGTGGCCTTGCTCTGCCCCTGTTTGTGCCTAAGTCAAAGGCTGACTAGAGCCTAATGGGTCCAATTTCCATTCTCAGGTTTTGGCCATGAAAAGGACACAGGGTAGATCCCAGAATGGGCAATGCTGCACAAGGAAAGAAATGAACAGTTTAAAGGAATTTATGCTAAGGAAACACAAATTTCAGATAAAATGAAATGAAAAATCACAGTAGGAAAACTAAGGTTGTGTATAATAGCTGAAAATCAAGATGTAAGTAGAAGCTCTCAAAAATTGTTTTAGTATTGCCATTTCAAGAACTGTGTGACAGCCATTATTAGGTCTTAATAGCTTAGAAGTTATGGGTCAGAACAGCTGAGATACTAAAATCAAAAGAATAAAAAGCAACATTATAAAGTAGTATAAAAATAACTAAATCACCTAAGGAAATTGAAACCATGCATGAAAAACCCCAAAGGCACAATCAGGTCATTAGGAAACACTAGCTTCTTCCACCAGGAGGCCTACTTTTCACGTGGAGCAATAAGCAAGGCCAAGACATGGAACTGAAGTCAGGTATCAAATCAGACTTTGCCACAGAAAAAGGAATCCATGACTAGTTATTTTAGGATAGTGCCTAGGACAGCACTATCAACTCCAACTGGGATACAGGAGATTATAGCCATTGTTCCCTTATAATGGGTCCTCCAGGGTCTTTAATTTAGCAAGAATGGGTTAGACAACACTACTGGGCTGTAATCCCCAAATATGGGGGGCGGAAAACTATATATAGGACAATTTCTTCAACAAACAAATTGGAAGAAAAAAAAACAAAAAAGACGGAATCTGCAGATTAAAATAGATTTAAGGGCTGTATCAATGCTTTGCAATAAATGTGCTTTCTCAGGATCCTGATTCAAACTGTAAAAGAAAAAAAAAACAGAGCTTAAAAAAAATCAAAGAAATCTGAACATTTTATATTTGATATTTTTAAATATTTGTTAATTTTTTCAGTTGTGATAATAGTTTTGATCTTATATTTAAAGAGCCCTTGCCTTTTAGAAATACAAACAAGTATTTTACAAATAAGTATGACAGGGATTTATTTCAAAATAATCCATTGACGGGGGCAGTGGTTAGAAGTATAGATGAAACAGGCTGGGCATGGTGGCTCATGCCTGTAATCTCAACACTTTGGAAGGCCAAGAAGGGAGGATGGCTTGAGCCCAGGAGTTTGTGACCAGCCTGGGCAACACAGTGAAACCCCATCTCAATTTTAAAAAATTAAAAAAAAAAAAAACAGAAGCATAGATGAAGTAGAATGTGCAAGTTGATACTATTAGAGCTGGTGATGGGTAAGCGGGGGGATTATTACACTATTCAATTTTTGCATGTTTGAAATTTTTCATAACTCTTTAACAAGAATTGGTTAAACATAATGCCTTGCAATTTTATTTTCTGAATGATGCCTAGGGTGATTTAAAAAATCATGTACAGACATCATTCATTTAAACAATTTCCTTTAATGCAGTAATGAGCTCCACTTTAACAAAAGAAGCAACCAGTACCACATCAGATCCAGAAAATGGAAGAAACCAAAGTAGCTCAATTACAGAATGGGAATACATCCACCCCTACTATCTCCATTCCAGGAAGTAAAATACAAATACTTCCCACAGAGATTTACAAAAACTAACCTAAAATCACAGCCAATCATACTCATCCTGGTGGGAAATTCCCCACACTGCTCCAACAGCTTCCCGAACCTTCCTGACCAAGTTGGCCTGCTGGTTTCTCTGGATCACTAACCCACTCAGGTCAGGCTACTGGAGGACCTACAAAAAATAAGTTGGGGGAGAGGAGTGAGATACACAACACATTTATTAGTATGTGTGAGGAGGGTTAACCATTCTATTATGTTCAAACATAGCCAGTTATTATTTCTAAAGCAATAGTCCTTACATATCTATTTGCATTTTTAGTACCTGCTTTGAGAAGTAACTGAAGAATTCAGAACCAACAACTGTAATACTTCTAACACTTAGACTAACATTCCTGCAAACAACTCAGTTCAACCCAAATGAAATTACAGAAGTCACTTTATTTTTTAGACAAGTTTCTACCCTCAATATAAACTAACACTAAGGATATATTTGCTTTATTGTTTCTGTGAAAAAAAAAAAAAAAAAACTGTACATATAAAAATTATTCTTCACCTTCATACATGCTTTTTGGCCATACTGGGAGACAAACGATAAACATCCTGGCAACTCAGGTTGAACTTTGCCATTGAACCTTAGACAAAGTTTTTATTTGGTATTGTCACTCCTTCCTCTCTTCTCAGAGATCTACCTAGAATAAATTAAACTTTTAGGTCACACCTAGATTATCATTCCCAGATTTATTCTAATGCTCAATAAGGGTCAAACTGAAATTGAGGTTTAGTAAATTTGTGATCACTGCTTAACCCACTGTAAAATGCACCAATGCAAAATCTCAAAACAAAAAGTGATCTCCTGCCCTCCAATGAAAATGGGAGAAAATTTTATTACCTACAAAGCACTTCAAATTAAATAAAGCAGACCCTGAAGTTCAAAACTACAGTCCACATACAGCTAATCATGGGATGGTTACCTCCCGCAAATTTTAAATCCTAGTAAACTTTTCACCACCATGTTTCTACTTCAATTCCCATCACCCAGCCGAAGTAAAATAATGGGGATAGTTGTGCTTGTATTAAAGGGTTGTTGCTAGAATTAGTTAAAAAAAAAAAAAATGTAAAATGTTACACTTTAATATTGGTCTAATCAATATATTAACAGTAAGGAAGCCTGTAATCTCAGCACTTTGGGAGGCTGAGGCGGGCAGATCACAAGGTCAGGAGATCGAGACCATCCTGGCCAATGTGGTGAAACCCCGTCTTTACTAAAAATACAAAAATTAGCTGGGCATGGTGGCACACGCCTGTAGTCCCAGCTACTCTGGAGGCTGAGGCAGGAGAATCACTTGAACCCAGGAGGCGGAGGTTGCAGTGAGCCGAGATCACGTCACTGCACTCCAGCCTGCCGAGAGCAAGACTCCATCTTAAAAAAAAAAAAAAAAAAGTAAGGAAAACTTTATCCAAATCAACTACAGTCACATCTGTTTAATAAGTACGTTAGAAAATATAAAATGGCAATAACACAACAGGAAATAGTGTATTAAAGAGCCAACAGTAATTCGCTATGGAAAAGCAGCTTGGTATTTCAAATGATCTTTCTCTCTTAGATAGGAATTATCTTGCTCAGGTAAGAAGATGCCAAACAGCAGATCCCCACACTGATCTGAGGAACCAAACAAATGAGGGAGGGGAAAAGTAGCATGAATACTTGAAATCTAGCTAACAGAAGCTCCTTTTACCACTGTGAAATGCATGGCACCAAATTACTTTTGTAGAGTGAATGACAGGACGGACTGCCTTTGGAGGAGTGGAAGAAATGAGTAGGCAGGGCATGAGGCACCCCTTCCAAAAGGTAGAACACTTGGGTGTGGTTCTTGACAGGAACATTATGGCTGGTGGTCATTCCAGGATAGTGATTACGCACTGAAATTCCTAGACCATTAGAAGGAAACAAAGAGTGGGAATCACGCTCAAACATCATGAACCATTGGAGATAAAAAGTTTGGCCTATGAGGAAAAAAACAAAAAAGTTATAGATCTGGCCTAGAAATATACCAAGAATCTACAGTTAAAGACACAAAAATCTCTTATTCTTTCCCAGGTCATAAAAGTAGCATATGACACAGGTACATCTACCAATATATTCTTACACCAAAAAGTAATCTTAATTTATCATGTGCCTACCATGAGTTAAGACATTTTACTTTTTTTTTTTTAAACTAATTCTAGCAACAACCCTCTAAGGTAAGCACAACTATCCCCATTATATAGATGAACTGAGAATCTGAAATTTTGCCCAAGGTCACAAGGTTCAATGTGAACCCAAAACACACACTAATAATTCCACCATACCAGGCCGTGCCTATGACTGGGGAATGTTGGTATCTCCTCAATCTATGCAACACTGGGGCTAAAACAATGCTGAACATGTAATCTACAAAGGAGAAAAAAATGATAGGAAATTAACTGCCTACAGTAACGGTGGCATGGGGGGAAGAGAAAATAAAGAACAGGGCAGATTGAGGGGCAGGACAATCAATGCTGTTTTCTAGTAAATGGAAGGGGTAAAATGTAGGGGAGCCTGAGAGGAGGGTTATCTTCCTTCTAGGGGATTCAGCTCCTGGAAAAGGAGTATGGGGAGTGGGGGATAGAAAGATTAAGAAGTGAGAAGCAGGTAAGAGGTACTCAGCAGCAAAAACAGATGTCCACAGACCAAGAGGCTCCTAGAAACTCAGAGCAAGGCAGGGAAAAGGGGCGGTTCCCAGGCTTGCAAGGGAAATGGAAGTGGGATGAAGACAGAAAGCGGTCTTACTGGAGGGTTATCCTCTACAGCCTTTTGAGGGGAAGGAATGAGGAAGGGAAGGCTAATGGCCATAAACGAAAAGGCCACTTAAACTGCAATATCCAACCACCGACCCGTTCAAAGTTTCGCTTAACAATGGTTTAGCAGCATGCAGAGCTAAGAAATCCGGATCAGAGTCATACAAACATGAAGACTTGAGGAAATGGAAGGCTACTATGGCTCCATCCACAAAGATGGAGTAAATGCAGGCAACAGGATAGGCTCTATTCAACGCCTGCGCCAAGGGGACCAATGAAATGGGGAGACGAGGCGGGCTAGGGGACTCAGGCTAACCTCGAATTTAGAAGAACTGGGGAAGGAATCACAGGAAAAAGCTTTGACTCCCCCCTCCCTTAAATACGAACCTCAACTATCCACGTAGATGAAGATTAGATGGGACGATAGAATTAGGAGGGGTGTGGGGAGAGGAGGAGTACGCCAGTGACACTACTGCTTGACCCCTAAGCCTTAGCTCTAAAACCGCGGGAGTTGGCGAAGATGACCCCACCTCGAGAAAAACCAGGGTACTCATCCGGGTCGTCGGAGGTGCTGAGAACGGAGGCTGGCCGGCAGAAAAGGTAGGGGATAGGGGCCAGTCGTCGTTGGTTGCTCCTCTCTTTCCCACCGTTCAATTTAACCCCCAACCCCACTCCACAGCGAACTCCAGACTCCCCTCCCACCCTTCCCAATCCGCCCACTGCGGCGGCGACAACGGAGGCGTTGACCGATCGGTGGAGCAAAGGCGGGCCCACACGCGGCCGAGGCCCGGGAAATGGTGTCGCCTCAACGGACTAGAAACTAGGTGGTCTTCGCCTCAGGTCTGGTTTACCGGCACCCCGGCGTTTCGCCAATCGTCACCTCCTTAACGCTGGGTACCTCAGAGGCGTCATAAAGGCAGATAGCCAACACCTCTGTGCTTGGTCCTGGCCGGACAGACATCAGCCTCCGCCGCCATCTTAACAGCAGGCGGACCGACCCTAGTCACTGCCCCCCCCCCACCCCTGAGCTACCTCAGCCACCGCCAACGAATCCCACGAGGACGTAACCCCGCTCCCGCGAGAATTCTCCGGCTTAGAACGGCACGAGCCGAAGACCTTGCCGCCGCCTCCGCGGCTACCGCAGTCAGTAGCCGAGCCACCGCCGCTTCCGCGCGATCCCGCGAGAGCCTCTACCGGACGGGAAAAGCCTGAGCCCAGCCCTTTCCAGACCCCTCCTCCCTCCCACCAAAGCCGAAGTAGCTACAGCTTCACCCTACGCGAAGCCAAAAGCAAATGACGCACAACCTAACGAAGCAGTGAGGGGCGGAGCCAACCTACCAGGGCCGGCTCCCGCATGCGTTGAGAACTATCGCGATATTACGCTTTAGCTCGGCGAGACCTTCTTAATTCACCGCAGGATGCCGCCCGCGCCTCGCCTTTAGGAAACATAAGATATCGCGAGACCTGGTGCACACTCCTAAAAAGGAGAAAGGCGGGGCTTCGTGAAAATGACTGGGAGTTTTTCGGGGGAAGGGAGGAACCTCCCGTCCTGCAGGGATCTCGCCTACCACGAGGTTTCCGACCCACTGCGGAGCTGGCTGCCAAACCTCGCGATGACACAGCTCAGCGCCAAATCTCGGCCATGTCCTGAAAACTGCCTCCGCCCCCGATCTAGGTGTCTAGAGCCTAGTGCTTGAGGAAAATTTAAAAAGTCAACCTGTTTATTCTCACGCTTCCGGGCAAGGCTGTACCAATTAGCCAAACTCCATTCTGGAAGGGGAGCAAAGAGTCCCCCATTGTTACCTGTCTCCAGGAATAACATATTTTCCTGGACTAACATTTAAAAGGCGTTCAATCCCACAGTAAGCACACAAATGCAAATGAAAACAATGACATAACATTTTTTGCCCATTAGATAGGGAAAAAAATTCTTAAACCTGTATTATCTAGACTCCTTCCCTCGCCGCACTGCAGGCTAACCTGAATCCATCTTAATCTAACTAAAGGCCATATCATTAGTTCTAGTTCCAAAGTCACCAATTTTAACTACTGAAGCTTTACCTTGGCATAACCAAAAAGATCCAATAAAGTGGTTTTCTCCAAACAAAGGAGTCTGCCCTCAAAGGAATATTCAAGCTTCGGGGATGGGGGGGGAATGCCTGAATATGGCAGTTTTTCCACGTCTAGCCAACAGTGTTTCTCCAACAAATCTTGGGATCCAATCTGGCTCGATTTGTGGGCTTTTCCATTCTAATGCATTGTTCTGTCCGTTCTAATTTAAATAGTTCCTTTAGAGTACATTTTAATAGCCAGTAGTACAAATATCCCTATTTAAAACTCACGTTTTAAAATATTTTTTCAGTTATTCTTAGCCATTTTTCCCCCAGATGAACTTTAGAATCATAGTAAGTTCCAAAAAAACTTGGTATATTTATTGAAATTGCATCAACTGTATAAACCAATAGAGGAAAAATGGACATCACTACAATATTGAGCCTTCTTATTCAGAAGCATAGTATTCCTTCTCCTTTAATGCAGATGTTCTTTTATGGTATTCGTCAATAAAGTTTTATAGTTTACTTCCAGGTATTTGTATTCGTTTCTCTTGCGAACAGGTTTTTTTATTATTAAAATTTCAAAATGCTTATTGCTTATAAATAGGAAAACTGCCTATCTAAACTATTGATATTTGCCTATTTACAAACAAAAATATGATCGATTTCACCAGTAATCAGGGAAATGCAAATGAAAACAATGACATACGATTTTTTGCCCTTTAAATTGGCTAAAATTACAAAGATCTATAATACGTGTTGGCATAACTGTGGAAAAATAGGCACTCTCGCACAACATTAAAGAGTGTAAATTAGTACAGGCTTTTGGGAAGGCAATTTGGACAAATGTATAAAAATTCAAAATGCATATACACCCTGACCCAACGATTACTCTTCTAAGAATTTATCCTACAGAAATACTCATACATGGCATGATACATATACACAAACCCATTCATTATGGCATTGCTTGTAATAGTCCCCTCCCTCCCCCAACAGAGAAACAAGCTAATGTATATCAATCGGGAAATGGTTAAACTGTAGTACAATCATACAATGCAGCTGTTTAAAACCCGACATAAATTTGGATTCCCGGATATAAGAAGATCTACAAGACATATTCTTAGATTTTTAAACAAGCAATTAGTCAAAATGAATGTGTGTGAGTATGTGTAGTACCATTTAGATACCAAAACATATATATGCAACGCCTAGTAGTTACCCGCGAAGCCTGCCTGCCCGCCCCTCACCTTCCCTCTCCTCTGAGGCCGCCTTCCTCGAACCAGTGAGAAATGCTGAAGGCCCGGCCTCTACTCCCTCTTTAGGGCCACTTGGCCATGGCTAATGCCGGTACCTCGCATCCCCTCTGTCAGTCGCTCTCTCGCCGCGCCGCCGGCCGCTGCCCGGCTGCCCCCGAAGATGCGGCTAGCTCTTTGCTGGCGCCGGCCGAGGCCTGGGGGAGGGGAGAGGAGGCGGGGTTCAGGGAGGGTTGGGGCAGGCCGCCCAGCCCCTCCAGCAGCCTTTCCCGCAGGCTCCCCAAGGCCGCCACCTCCGCGCCTCCGCGCAGGGTCCCGTGGGAACTCCCCCCCCCCCACCTCGCCACTGCCACCCGCGAGAAGCCGAGAACGGCCGCGCGTACAGAGCTCGCTCCCCAGTCCAGGGATAGACGCTCACCTCGGCCGCAATGGCTCCGCGGGGCCCGCAGGAGCGTGCGGGGTCCGCGGCCCTGCTTCAGCCCTGCTTCAGCCCTGCTCCAGCCCTGCTCCCCTCGCTAGCCCTCAGTCGAAAGCCTCCTCGCTCCGGCTCAGCTCAAACTCGCTTTGGGGCTCCACCCACCGCACGCGAAGCCCCGCCCCTGCCCCTCGGGAGGGAGCTCCCTCCGCGGTGAAGCTGGGTCCCTTGCAGGGGACCGCGCCTGAGCTACCCGAGGCCCAGTAAACGCAACCATAGAGGATGATAGGGTCGCTAAGAATTGGGATTTGATTCGAGGCACGGTGGAAGCCGTGGAAGGGAACATGATTTGATCTGATTTACCTTTAAAAATTAACGACCTCGCCAGATGCCTTGTGAAGAATGGGGAGTGTGGGGCAAGAGGGCAAGCCTGGACCCAGAGCGGAGGGTGGGAGACGATGTGGGACGCCAACCCCCCAGAGTTCACGCGAGCAAACCCTTAAAACACTTCAGGCACATAGTAAGCCCTCAATAAACATTCTCTTTTTCTCCTTTGATTATTTGGAACGGCAGTGCGATTGACAAGGATCCTGTAGAGGATCTGCATCTGTAAATACATGGGAATAAAAAGGACCCGGTAGGAGATCCCCTGTTAACCCTGCTTATTGTGGGCTGCGGACGACATTGGAGGGACGAGGGACTTTGACTTGGAACTCTAGCTACTTCGATAAGGTTTCACTTTTTAATAAAAAGTATGTATTAATTTAGTATTTAAAGACAAAAGCACTATTAAAAGAACTCCTGAGACATCGAGAAAATAAAAACTGTAATTATACCCTCCACTTCTCTAATTCCAGCCCTCCAGAGCAGTGGTTCATCCCTCGAATTGAGAATCTGCTGAATGGATCCCCCACCCCAATATATACTTACACATAATATTTTGTATATGATCTCAGGAGATGTACAGGGCCCCTTCGAGATACATTGTTGCTTTAAATATTTTTACTTTTTTTTTTTTTTTGAGACAAAGTATCACTCTGTCACCCAGGGTGAAGTGCAGTGGCATGGTCACGGCTCACTGCAGCCTTGACCTCCTGGGCTCAAGGATCCTCCTGCCTGCCTCAGTCTCCCAAGTAACTGGGACTACAGGCATGCGCCACCACGCCTGGATAACTTTTTATTTTTTGTAGAGACGGGGTCTCACTATGTCGCCAGGCTGTTCTCAAACTCCTGGACTCAAGCAGTTCACCCGCCTCCGCCTCCCAAAGCGCTGGGATTACAGGCGTAAGACACCGCGCCCGGCCCATCTGCAACATTTTGGTGGCAACATGAAACTATACTTTCTTTAGCATGTAATTAACTTTTGTTCTTTTTTCATTTTAAAATTGGTTTCCTAATTACACAAGATTATTGTAAAACACGGATAAATTTAAAGTTCCCCTTACATTCGTATACACAAATAGAAAAGCATGACTCTGTTTTTGTTTTTCATTTAAAAAACGAATAGCATCCTATGTATTGTTCTGTTAATTGCTTTATTCACTTAATGTAGCTTGAAGATCTTTCCATGTCAATATATATAAATCTACCTCATTTATCTTACCTACTGCATAGTATTCCATTGAATGAATATACTGTAATCATTCACCTATGGATAAACACATGTTATTTTCCATCTTTGACTATTACAGTGGGTTTTTTTTCCTACTATTAACAATGCTGCAATAAAATTCCTTGTACATGCTTTTTTCTGCAGATGCTAAAATATTTCTGTGAGATAAACATGGAGAAATGAAATAGTTGGATAAAGGTAGCACACTTTTTCTCTTTTTTTAAGACAGTGTCTCACTGTCACCCAGGCTGGAGTGCACTGGTGCGATTAGGGCTTACTGCAGCCTTGACCTCCAAGGCTCAAGCGATCCTCCCACCTCAAGCAATCCTCCTGCTTCAGTCTTCCCGCGAGTAACTGGGACTACGGGCCTGTGCTATCACGCCTGGCTAATGTTTGTATTTTTTGTAGAGATGAGATATCACTACGTTGCTCAGGCTGGTCTCAAACTCCTCAGCTCAAGTGATCCTCCTGCCTCGGCCTACCAAAGTGCTTGGATTACAGGCGTGAGCCACTGTGCTCTGCCCAAAGATAGCCCATTTTGAAATTTTAGTACATAATGTCAAATGACAAATTGCCACGTAGAACGACTATTTCAGTTTATACCTCCACTAGCAGTGAGTAAGAATTACCATTTCCCTAAATTCTTACCCGGACTCGATATTAACCAATCATTTTAATATTTTTCCAATATAATGGGTGAAAAATGTCTCATTATTTACATTTCCCTGATTATTAGCTAAGGAGTATTTTCTTTCTTTCTTTCTTTCTTTCTTTCTTTTTTTTTTTTTTTTTTTTTTTGAGACAGTCTCACTCTGTCTCCCAGGGGCATGATCACGGCTTGCTGCAGCCTGGATCTCTTGGGCTCAAGGGATCAAGGGATCTTCTCGCCTCAGCATCCCGAATAGCTGGGACTACAGGTGCAAGCCACCATGACTGGCTAAATTTTTTTTGCAGGGGGAAAGTGGGGAACAAGACGAGGTCTCACTATGTTGCCCAGCCTTGTCCCAAACTCCTGGGCTCAAGTAATCCTCTCCAATCCTCCTCAGCCTCCCAAAGTTGTTGTTTCAAGCATGAGCCACTGTGCTGTGCCCCAAGAGATTTTTACTATTTTATTATGAACGTTTTCAAACATACGACAACGTTGAAAGAATTTTACATCTGCATACCCACCACATTGATTTCACCATGTTTTGTTATAACTGTACTACATATATATCATTTATCTATCCACCAATCAAGCCATCTTATTTTTATGCATTTCTCTTTCTCATTTAACTAAACTCTCTAGAGTTTATTCTGTTGATATTTTCAAAGAACTATTTCTTAGATTTATCTTTCTATTCTACCATTTTTCCCTATTCTCTACTTAAGTTATTATTTTCAGCTTTCATGTTTATTAATATCTTCCTCCAGTTTTCTCTAAGTTTATTTTTTTCAGTGTTTTACTTCATATGAAGTGCTTTCATTCTCATTAATTTCTAGTTTATAATTTTAGGTTTGATTTCTTCTTTGACCATGAGATATTTAGAAGTATTTTCTTTGTGAGGTGACTCACATTTTTTCTTATCTGGATGTTTTTGTGGTTAGAGGTTAGCTGTACGGCACTGTGTTCCATTAATGTGACTTTTATTATTTCTACTATCGGAAATGCATTGTGCTTTCTTTAATGACTCAGTACCTGATCAATCTTGGCAAGAGTTGCATAGGCATTTTTTAAAACTTTATAGCATACAACTTATGTGCTTTTGTAACTGTTTTCTTCATACATTTAATGGAATATTGTTTGCTATGTATGTTTATGACAGAAGATAGTCTTGGTAGATAGTCTCTTTTTTTCTTTTTTTAGAGACAGGATCTCATTCTGGTGCCTAGAGCTAGAGTGCAGTGGCACAATCATAGCTCACTGTCACCTCAAACTCTTCAGTATCTCTCTTTACCCTGTTTAAAGTTTTTTTTTTTTTTTTGGAGACACAGTTTCACTCTGCCGCCCGGGCTGGAGTACAGTGGTGCGATCCTGGGTCCCTGCAACCTCTGCCTCCCCAGTTCAATCGATTCTCCTGCCTCAGCCTCCTTAGTAGCTGGGATTACAGGCACACGTGCCACCACACCCGGCTAATTTTTGTATTATTAGCAGAGATGGGGTTTCACCATGTTGACCAGGATGATCTCAAACTCCTGACCTCAAGTGATCCACTCACCTCAGCCTCCCAAAGTGCTGGGATTACAGGCGTGAGCCACCGTGCCCAGCCTGAATACCAATTTTTCTAATATTCATGCTGTCATTTTTGTATATATAAATATCTTTCTTTTTAACTGATTACATACAGAAGATCAGACAAACCCATAAATTATTCGAATAGAGTTAATGGCATGATGTATATTCTTTCAGATCTTTTTCTATATATACATTTACACCTATATTACAATGCAGATTTTTTAAACCAAAAAAGAAGAAATAATGATATATTTAAGTTTTACAACTTGCCTTATTGACAATGCATTCTTGAAATTCTTTCTGTCAGTGTCTATATGTTTACCTTATTCTTTTTTATTGATCTCTGGAGCTAGCACTTACACAGTGCCTGGCCCATCACTTGTTTTTTAAAAAAATTAAATATTGCTTCAGGGAAGCCTTCCTTGACCCCCCCCCCAAAAACTGGATCAAGACCCACTGTAATACGCGTTCATAATACTCTGCTATTTTCCTCCCACACCACCCAAAACAATTATACAATTGTGTGATTAACATCTGTTCCCCCCAACCCTACACACACACACCTCACACCTCTACACTGAACAGTGAGCTCCTCGGAGGCAGGGACCAAGCCTGTTTTTTTTCCTACTCATACCCCACCACCTATTACAGTGCCTGGCAATTGTATCTGTTCAATAAATATTTTTGATGTGATTATGCCCATTTTACAGGATAGAAAGCTGTGCTAACTTAAGTAACAGTTGTCCTATAAGAAATCCCCTGAGGCTACTCAGAAATAAATAGAGGTAACAACAGATTATGAGTGTCTTAACATGCCAATACATAAAAGATTTACCTTATTTTTAAATTATTCACATAGAGTAGATATTCCTTTGGATTGTTACTGAGTTTTCATTATTATAGAGAGTGCTGAAATGAACATTCTTGTAGAAATAGCTTTACACATGTTTGTACTCCTATAAGATAAATAAGTAGAAATTGAATTCCTGCAAAGGGAATGCACATTTTGCAATTGGATAGATATTGCCAAATTGCCCTCCAAAAGAGATTATGTGAATTTATATTTGTAGTGCCCAAGTATGAGAGTGCTTTTCCCCCCATACCCTTGCCAGAGCCGTGCATTTTCACTAATTTTTTTCTTTGGTAATCTGATACTTACAAAATGATATGTCATTCTTTGCATTTTCATATCTTTGATTTTTGGCAAGGTTGAATGTCTTTTAATTAGTTTCTTGGCCATTTGTATTCTTCTTCTTTTAAATGCATATTTTGTTTGTATATTTTGCCCATGTTTTTTGTTGAATAGTCTTTTTTGTTGAGTTGGAATAG